TTTTTCTCAGTATGTTCCAAATGGAACCACTTGGCATTAATGGGTTAACACATGCAGCACAGAAAAACGCTTCATTTTTCTTCATTTATTCGCAAATTCCATGACTTTCCATAACCTGAAATGAAATCCCATGACTTTCCAGGCCTGGAAAATGAAAAATCAAATTCCATGACTTTCCAGGTTTTCCATGACCAGTACATACTCTGTTTGTGCTGAAAATAAAACGTGATATTGTACTACTCATCTATCAGATATGATATAAAAATAAGCTAACAGTTCTTTGAAAATGCTTGCAACATGTCAGAGGCTCTGCCTATAGTTAAATAGTGATGGTAGGAATCAATAAAATGATGATTTTTGGAGTTGAGATCTGATATGTGAATGACATCTGAGGTATGGCATTTGTGATGCAGTACCTACTACCGTATACTAGTTTGTAGCATGGATTCTTGGTGATATGACATTCACAGTGGCTTCCTGTTTTGGTTCATGTATGAAAGTTCCAGAATTTATTGCAAATTATTGACTGCCCAGGATGATTTTACCGTTACAAAGACATCGGTACATGAAATTGTTCACTTGCACCTAGCCCCTGATCTACTTGCTACTGAAATCCATCACATGCTAGCCTGTAGTCAGCCTAGGGGTAGGTTCTAAGCTAGCCAGCCTGCTAGGGGTCAGTAGAAATGGCAGCTGCAAAGCAAAATGGCATTTGGTGATGTATTATTACTAGTCCAAGAATTATTAATTTATTTTCAATCTTTATTATCATAATTATTTATCGTTTGTAGTTATCATTATTTATAATTATATAAAATCTATTATCATTTACGCATCATTTCTCCATAATTTCCTCATCATTTTCCCATTATTTCCCCATTGTTTTTACATCAATTTTTCCATAATTTACCCATCATTTTCAAATCATTTACCCATCACTTTCTCATAATTTCCCCATTATTTCCCTACAATTTTTTCATAATTTCCCCCATAATAATAATAATAATAATAATAATTTCCCCCATAATCTGTCATTTTCCCATATAATGAATGCACCAATGAAGTATGAACAACCCTGCATTATTCATTCAGCTTTAATTTCTCATTCATTCATCAATTATTCATTATTCATTTATATATCATTTTTTATCATGTAATTTTTTCAAGTCACTAATTTATAATTTATTTATAAAACTGGAATTTATTCTGCTCAATTCTGCCTTTTGGTAAATTTATACCATTTCTATCTATCAGTCACACCAGTTTCCCCTACCTAACTGCAATCAAAATCTTAACCAAAATGTTTTATTTTAGTCAGAATATATAGATAGCCTACAAGAGCTTTCTGATCAAGCATGGAAAACTTCTAACATTAGGGCCACAACTAGAGCTTTCCCATAATTTCTGGAACTGCGAGATATCTGCCAGATGAATTACCTCTTATATAATTGCTAACAAAAATGCAAGATTGGGCCACAACCGTATCAATCAAAGTCTCAACCAAAATGTTTTATTTTAGTCAGAATATATAGATAGCCTACAACTACAAGAGCTTTCTAATCAAGCATGGAAAACTTCTAACCTTAGGGAACGAGCCCACGACTAGAGCTTTCCCGCAATTTCTGGAAATGCGAGATATCTGACAGATGAATTACCTCTTATATAATTGTTAACAAAAATGCACGACTGGGCCACAAGCGTATCAAAAATTTGTGAAGTTCAAGCCACAAGATTTCAGAAACAAGTATGAAAATTCTAATCCTGTTTCTAATGGTACTAAAATCTTTGAAATTGCCTCATAAGAAACCAAGAAATTATAGTTTTTCCAAAAAAATGGCAGAATTGGTCCATTTTGAAGTCATAATTTAATGAAGGAAAAAATTCAGATTTTTTTCACTTACAGGAGTTTACACTTTACAGGACTCAAAAATTAACTTGAGGAAAAATAACACAAAATGTTCTCTTTTGCCACTAGGCCTATGTATTTTGTGAACGGTGAACCTTGAGCATTGACAAATTTCTGATAGGAAAAACATGGAAAACTGCACATTTTTGCCTGCAGTTTTCTAAGAATTGGCCATAAAATTATTGTTTCAACAGATTTCAACCTATGATTTTTAGAAAATTCCACTCAATAAAAGATTATGCAGAAAAGGAAGGACAATCTAGCCTAAACATTTTTTGTGATAAAGCGGCCAAAATTAATGACACATTACCGTCAAGATTGCTTCAACTTCAGAATGTTTAGGAATAAAATTTGGTTAGTATTTCAATAATAATTTCATCAGAGATTGCCGTGCGCCCGTGCCTCCTAGTCACAGAACTTACAGAAGTCACTCCTAGCCTACTAAGCCTAGGCTCCAGTGATCCACTACTAGGTTTGGTACGTCGTACGTGGAGAACTGTTCAAGATTTCACTAAAAATGTTAAACCCTGACAGCTATGCATGAAAAATGTGTTGGGCGCTTTATTATTGAACAACGACAGCAGATCAATAAATCATTAATTACACAATATAAACATCCAAAGCACAGCTGACCGTAGTATTTCCCTGAACCTAACGTAACGCAAGAAACAGAAAAAGTAAACATAACAACAAGGCTACCAACCTCCGCCCATCTGTCAAATGCAAGAAGTAAGCCTTTTTGATGAAAATTTGAACGGGTAATTTAGATTTAGTCCAGTGAATAATTTGAAATATTTTTTTTATATTTATAAAGATTTTTATGATATCTGGGAAAACTTTATGAAGAATCTTCTCTATAACAACGAATATTGAAAATATGTAATATTCTAATTATTGTCTCAATGAAGATTTGCACATTAATTTCATACGACCAATACGACATAAGTGCGCGATCGTAAGCGTGGACCATCCTGATTTGGCCAGCTGCATTCATTCAATACGTAACTAATAATTATGAAGTTAAATACACATATTCCATAATCCATTGCGCTGCGGCGAGGATTTATTTCCTCATATTTACTCTTTCATGTTATAAATTAGAACGGGGAAACGGGGAAATTTAGCCCGTTTGACGCGCTTTTGTCATTCAATTCGTTAACTATAATTAGTTTTTAATGCCCGTTACGCTGAGGCGAGAATATTTTTATATTTTTACCTACTCCCGTTTTCAATAGGTTAGGTTATGTTAGATTACGTATTTCAGGTTAGGTCAGGTTCTACGCCTTTTATTTGAAAACAGGAGTATTTAAATATATAAAAAGTATTCTCGGCACAGAACAATGGATACTAAGAACTGTATTACAGTTCATAATTATTGGTTGCGAATTGAGGGAAAACCGCGCGGCCCGTTGTTCCGTTTTAATTGAAAACGGGAGGTGGTAAAAATGAGAAAAAATCCTCGCCGCAGGGCAATGGGCATTGTAATATGTGTGATAAATTTTATATTATAATAGTTAAGAATCGCATGGGAAAGACGCGTCGAATCGGCATTGCCCACGCTAACGCTCACACACTTTCGACTAACTGGTCTGTTTGCGATACATTTCTACTCAATCAATTAGTCTCTATGATAGGTTAATTCAATTTAACAGAAATTTTCATGTTTTATTATTCTTAACAAATAAATCATGTCATACAAACACTAAAAACTAGACAAATTCATTCGAATGATATACATTAAACGATGACCCGCCATAATGTTGCAACAACTGTTATGTACACGTGATTATTACGAAGCGTACCAACCACTTCGACCTCTGATACGTGACACTTCCATGATATTTTTATTCAATTAGTGGCACAGAAACATCAAGAGGTAAATCTTTTAACCTAACTAGGTCCGTTGTGCCTCTTAAAATATCCAGAGCCAGGGATACTACCAATTTACCAGGTATTCGAAAACAATAAAAACCTTTAGTTTTCCATGTACCAAATTGATTTTGTGAACGAACAAACTATATATTTATCATCATTATTATATGTTTCGGTTCCTGCGGAATGAGTCAGAATCTTGACATCCTTGTTATGTTATATAATAATAAGTAAAATAGATAAGTGATAAGATATTTTATGATGATTTTATTTTCCAGCCCAAGGAAAAAACTTTGAAAGGCATCAAAATTAAGCAAGAATATGCTCAGCGGTGATACGCACTATGCCCAAGTCATCTGATTACAAGTTTAGTCAATTTTTTTAGCGGGGCTCCGAGTTTCATTGGCCAAAAACCTGTCGCACACTCTAGATTCTAGAGTCTAGAGTCTAGAACCTTCGATTGACCACGGCCGGTCGCACTTCTGCTTACGATTTTTTATTAAAAAAATCCTTGTCAATGATAACCTGTAACAGAAAATTAATGGCTGGCTATAACAATTTGAACAAATAGAATTATTATAAACTGACCATAAAATTACAGATATACAAAAGTACTGGTACGTGTGAGCGTAACTAAATAACATGTTCTGAACAGATAGAGAACAAAGAGCAGTTTAGTTATCGGAGAAACAGTTGGCATGAGACTTTCTACGATTGAATAAGTAAAGCGATTCGAGAGAGCAAAAGAAAATGATTAAATTGAAAATTTAATCGCGATGAAAATTTAATTGAAAATTTAAATGATTAAAATGATTAAATTTTAAAATCAGAATTTTTAAGCAAAAAATCGAACAATTAGGAGTGGAAAGTATTAAAAAATTCTTACGAAGTTCAACCAACAAATGAATGCATAAAATATTAGACTTAATCGTACGTTATGTTAACATTTTATAACCGCAATGAACAACGCGTTATGTTTTCCTTTACATTCCGGCCATCTCGAGAAACGTAATCTTTCAAACTTTTTTGCATAACTGAAGTATAAATGTTTTAAACATTCAAAATGCTAATTTGCTAAAGTCTGAAAAATAAATGAGAAACCTTATAGCAAAACTAAATTACGTTGCGGGAGTTAATCCTTATGTACACATTAAAAGATTCTGGCACGGGAGCAAATTCATTGGTGAAATTTGATCAGGAACATAATATTAATTAAGCTCGCAAAAAAACATGTAATCCATGAAACAGCGAGCGGACCTCGGTTTATGTGAATCTCAAACTGAATTATTCTCAAATCACGTCACTCATTCGCATGGTTTATTGAAAATCTTTGACAGTAAAAAATTAACGGAGAAATTTACTTTTATTTATTTATGTTCAATTTAGAAGGGATGGGCGAGAGCTTGAAGCTACGACCTTCTCACGCTTTTCTCCCATCGCAGCTGAAAATGCGAAGAAGAACTTTGGGTATTGATATACAATTCTAAAGTCACGATCTACTGAATAGCCCGAAGTAACTTAATCATTAAGAGCCTATTCTACTTCTATTCTAAAATCGGATCTTGCTCGTCACATCCTTAATCCTGGTCGTAATCCGGTGGGCAATTCTGGAGGTAGTATGGCAGAGTCCCATTTGAGTGGTAGCTTCTGGTACTGCGGGCTCCCAGCGTCCCGTATTGCTGGGGTCCCAGTGCCACGGGAGTACCAGGCGGCTTCATCAATTTGAGGGTACTTGTACGCGAGCTTGGATGAGGTAGAGTTGGGTACTGTGGGTAGCCCCAAGACGGGGGAGGCATGGGAGGCTTGAGACAGGTACATGGAACCCCCGCCATGTGGACTGGGTGCTTAGTTTTGGAAGAATCACAAATGTACTTCACAAGACAGGCAATGAGAATAACAAAGGCAACGAAAGAAATCACGCCACCAACGATTCCAATGATTAGAATATCCATATCGTTCAAAATGCCCGCTTTTCTTGTTTTTGATTTGGACGACGGAGAGGAAACATCTTCGATTGTAATAATGTTGTCTGTCGTCGCGCTTCGATGTGTGGTTGTGAACAGTGGAGGAGCCGTTGTAGTGGTCGTAGGGATGCCATCACAAGTGAGTTCGTTTTCTTTAAGGAGGCGTATATGCCGTCCAAGAAGTTCAGCTGGCGCCGAACACGTAACGTTGTATATAGGGTCTGAAGGTCTAAGAGTGCCGAGCCATCGCTGTAAAGGACGAGCGTTGCAATCACAGAAGAGTGGGTTAGTGTCCAAGCCATCAAGCTGCAGATGACGTTGCCGAGGGTTGAGGCTGTTCAAGAATTGGGGACTCAATGACGTTATTTTGTTGTTTGACACGTCAAGATTAATTTGTGACGACATTGGAACGGGGAAGAAAGCGTTAGAAAACAAGGAGCTCACGCTTGTATTTACAAGACCAATGTTGAGCACGGGGCTATTAATTCCAGCAAATGCTCCGCCGGACAGCGCCTCGACCGCTTTGCCGCGGATGATGAGTGACTCAAGCCGAGGTGTGAAAGCGGGATGAAGTTGATCGTGTATTTCAGAATCTGTTATTTCAATATCAGCCACTTTGAGACCTGGAAGAGATTCAAGGATTCCTCGGGCGTCCATAGAATGAATTGCAGGGAGACTGTGTAAATGAAGCTCCTCTAGTGTCTTCAGCGACTGTAGGGCTGACCGCTCAACACGGGACAGGCTGTCCATGTGAGTAGCTTTCAAAACTTTCAGTTGCGCAAGGTATCCCAAGTCACCCCTGATGATGTACATGAAAGGATTATACGAAATGTCGAGGTACCTCAAGTAGGGTAACTTGGGCCACGCAGAGGCAAGCCCAAAACTGAGGTTCTTGAGTTTGTTCTTGGAAACGTCGAGGGTGTGAAGATTGCGCGTCAAGGCAAAGGAGTCGTCTTTGAGCTCTCGAATGTGATTGTCCGAAATATTTAGGAAGAGTAAAAAGCGAGCTTCAATCACTGGAATTTCACTGATGTTAGTACCAGCGAGGTTTAGGTAACGAAGAGTCTTAGGTTCGTTCAAAATGACACTTATGTCGTCCTTTGTGAGCGGATTGTACGATAGGTCGAGTCCTTTTATATTAACAATGATATCAGCATTGCTGGGCACATTTTTTATTCTGTTATGTGCTAGACTAAGATCACTTAGGAAGAAGTACTGCTGTCTCAAAGCTTTGACAGGAATAGATGTAAATTTATTGTGTGCGAGATTTAGGTCTTGGAGTTTTTGTATTTTGGTTCGTTGGAAAATGGAATCTGGAAAAGAGCGAAGATTGTTGTGACTTAAATCCAGTCTTACTCTTGACAAGCCAACAAATACATCACTTGGAAGATGAGTTATATCGTTGTGGCTCAAATCGATTACTTGTAGCTGCGTAGAGTTCTGCAGAGATTTCTCAGATATTTCTTGAATCTTATTATGCGAAAGATTTAGCTCTCTGAGTCTCTGCGAGTTTGCAAGATCATTGTCATTTAGGCGTTCAATTTCATTGTTTTCCAAATACAAGTGCTGCAAGTCAGGCAATCCTCTAAAAACTTCAGCAGGGAAAAGAGAAATACGGTTACTGCTCAAGTTAATCCAAGTCAACTTGGAAAGCAATTTAAAAGCCTGGTTTTGTAGGAAAACAATCTCATTTTTACTTACATCCAGTAGTCTTAGTTCAGTGCTTGGAACAGGAATTGTTAAGCGAAAGAATTCTTCTCTGAAAGTGTTCAACTTATTATCGTTCAGTCTGAGGATGTGCAAGTAAGGCGTGTCAAAGAAGGCTCCGTCGTTGATTCGTTCAATTCTGTTATTGCCAAGATCAATCGTATGGATGAAGAGCAAGTCCTGGAAAGCGTTTGATTGCACCTCCTTGATTTGATTTCCGCTCAAGTTGATGACGTTGATGACTGATTCTTTAAACTGACCAGCCTTAAGTGACGTCAGTAAGTTTTTGCTTAGATTAATTTCAGTCAACTGCGACAGTGGGCTCAGGACATTCACTGGAAGAGTCGATATGACATTTTCACTTAAGTCCAGCATCTTTAGTTCAGGTAGAAATAAGAAAGTGTCGTGATGAATGCTTGAAATATTATTCTGAGAAAGGATAAGTTCCGAAACATTTGGGAAATCAAGATTAGGCACTTCATTCAGCTGATTCAAGCCAAGATTGAGATAAGAAAGGCTGTTTTTGAGGCCCACAAAACTAGCAGGTGACAATGTCGAGATCAAGTTTCCGTACAGGTTAAGTTTCGTGAGCTTCGTCAGGTTACTGAAAGTATCTGCGGGAATTTCACGGATGATGTTGTGAGCAATTGAAAGTTCTTGTAGGAGAGGGACGTTCTCGAAACTACTCGCCGAGATCACTCCCACTCTATTGTAGTCCATCGTCAGCACTTTCAGGAGTGGCACTTTGGCAAGAGCCACAGAGGGAACCGAGAGAATTTTGTCGTCGTCCAAGTGAAGCTCCTCCAAGGAATCTAGCCCGTCGAATGCTTCGTCCTCGATCTGGGTGGAATTCCGGTTAGTCAGTGAGAGGTGATTAAAGGTTGGACTGTCAATGAAATTAAAAAAGTGATCCCTGAGCACAAGTTAAAAGCGTTATATGCTTTGCAATTCGGCCTATTGTCGGAAAAAAGATAAACTGATATCGATTCTACTACCGAATCATAGATTTGTGATGTGTTCTGGCGAAAAAAGTTTTCGCTGCCTTAAATATCACTCTAGGGATACGCTTGTCAAGTGGAGTCTATGTGATTATATTTTTAGAACAAATTGTTACATCAATAGTAAAGAAGAATGCGCAGAGTGGTGAATAGGGCATTTACCTTCCTGATAGAGTTCACGGAGAGCTTGAGTGAGACCAGGCCCTTGAGTTGCCTGAATGTTCCGGGGTTGAGTTGGCCGAGGGAGCAGCGGGACAGGTCCAACTTTCGCAGTGACAACAGAGGACCCAGGGCTACGATGCCTCCTAGGTTCTGTAAATCAAATTTTTTATTATTTATTGTTAAAATATTTTAAAATGAGTAAATTGAAGAAACCCGTTTTTTATAATTAGGCTTTAAAAATTTCACAACGAAATCGAAAGCAAGAAAAGAAAACTTGCTGTTGATCGCTGTTGACACTGTTGACACTCTCATGCTCTGTGAATTTTTTTAATTATTCCCATTCTTAATGTAAGAAAAGAATTCAATCCGAGGACCACGGGTTTACTGCAGCCCGTTGCACGAATCTTGTACTTTTAATGTACCTGAATGAGGTTGTCTTTGAGCACGAGAGTCTTGAGGCTGCGCAGGTCCATGATAGCCTCTACGGGCACCTGCGTCAGGAAGTTGTCGGACAAGTCGAGCTCCTCGAGGCGGTCGAGCCCTTGCAGAGAACCGCTCTCCAGGCTGTCCAGTCTGCGGGGACAACAACGTAACATCGTGTCGTGATTAAGTGAATGAAAAACATCGTTAAGTGTAGCTTTAAAAATTCCTAACACTGGCTGAATAAAAGTTAGTTGACATATAGGTGATTTGAAGCAAATATTGCAACTTTTTGTACACCATGCTACAAGTACACTCTCTCCAGGCTGTCCAGTCTGTGGGGACGACAACGTAACATCGTGTCTTGAATACACACATAGTTCCTCCCAATCCTCGTAATTATTTAATAGCCTTTCTTGTCATTGTTGTAATTCACTTTATACGTGTTTACCTGTTTTAACTAAGGAAACTAAGGAGTGACTGAAAAGCATAGTCACGTGTAGCCTAAAAAATTTCTAACACTGCATGAATAAAAGTTAGTTGACATATAGGTGATTTGAAGCAGATAATGCTACTTTTCATACATTATGCTACAAGTTACACCATGATAATGATCAAATACTGCTATGCACTCTTAAAAATGAAGTGCCTTGATTAAAACATGGAATAATTGAAGAGTTAGTTGAGGGATAGCGTTGATATTACCGGCTGTGTGAGGCAAATATTGCTACTTTTTGCAGATTATGCAACGCGTTACACCACGATAATGATCAAATACGGCTATGCACTCTTGAAAATGGAGTGCCTTGATTAAAACATGGAATAATTGATCATTTAGTTTAGAGATAGAGTTGATATTACCGGTTGTGTGAGAGGTCAAGCGTAGTGAGCTCAGGAAGGTGAGCGAAGGCCCCGGCGCCGACATCTGGTATGTTGTTGTTCGAGAGGTTGAGGAAGACCAACGCAGACACCGGCGAGAAGCTTCCCGGCACCAAAGGTCCTGCAACAGTGAACAATAAATACAAACCATCAAAATAATGTACTCAAAGGAAATTTTTAATTTGTTAATTGTAATTAATGTACGTTGTAATTACGTCTTGATCTTTGATGTTCGTCAATTTCTAGAGCTCCAGTACATCAAAAGTGTTCGAAAGTCCAACAATTTTTAAAGAGGCAACGCGTAAAGGATCTGATTAGTGTCTACGGTTGTGCCAGTACTCTTTGTAATTTCAAACCTGTAATTGCGCAATTCAGCCTTCATTTGTTCTTTGCTCAGAGCGCGCGGTAAGCCAATAATAGTACGAATAATTGTGACCTATACATACACACATAGTTCCTCCCAATCCTCGTAAATATTTAATAGCTTAATAGCCTTTTTGTCTTTTTTGGAATTCACTTGATACGATTTTACCTGTTTTTAAATAACTCTTTGGTCTGTGCTGTGCTTTTGTTTGCGTTTGAGTGTTTGCAAGGAGAAACCGTTTACTGGTTCACATCATTAAAGAAGTCCGAAATAAATTTAGAAATTCTTATTAGAGTTTGTTTTCTTTTCCCGATAGTCCGATACAATGTTTCCAGCGAATCTCCAAACGACACCTTGCGAAATGTCTTGAGCCAATACCACTAGTAAACTATTCTAGTAAATAACTGCGTTCACTTATTAAAAAAAGTTAAATGACGCTGTCTCACTGTGAACGCTATTTACAGAAATACAGCAAAATATTTACCCCTCAAAACCAACTATTAAGAGAACAATGCACATCACCCCACATGACACGACTGCTGAAGGCCCCCGCCACGCACCGATATTGTTCTCCTGCAAGGTGAGGACCCGCAAGGCGGCGAGGCCCTCGAGAGCCGCCGTAGGCACCTCCGTCAGGTGGTTGCCCTCCAGCCGCAGCACCTGGAGCGCCTTCAGCGGCTCCAGCGTCTCCACGTCCACTTCACGGATGCCGTTGTATCCGAGGTCTAGTGTCTGGAGTATACATTAAATAAAAATATAACTCAGTACTCACTGCAGTGATTGACAGAGAGCGCATTTTCTCGTCGACGAAAACGTGGTCACGGACAGACAGACAGACAGACGGACGGACGGACGAACATGGCGAGCACAATAGTGCATTTTTTCCATAAATGAGAAAATGCGCTAAAAAACTGTTATTCTCCCTCGGTATATACTTATTACTTCATTCAGATCACAACACAGGATTAAATTAACAAAGTTTATGAGCTGGACGAGAGCCAAGGTATTATGGATGGGAGGAACGAAATTTGTTGATAAAAGACAAATTCAGCATCAGTGCAACGAGCATTAAAAATTATCAATATCGCTTAGTCTCATTTTAGTCGCACAACTACAGAAGACAAAATTCAATGGAAAAAGTGCGGCAGTAGTGTTAGATGGAAAAAGATGCAACAATTTAACACAAATTTGTGTTTACTTACATAGTATCTTCTCCATAATCAAAGGCTTGTGCTTACTTAGATGCAAGTAAAATGAACGGTAATTACTTATCTGTTTCCTGTTCAGCAATTGTAACCGCTAATAAAAAGCTGTAGTGTTCGGTTAGAAGCAAACTACTGACCACGAGAGCCGTGAGATTAGCGATCTCGGGGCTGCTGAAGACCGGGCTGTATAATAAAAAGCTGTAGGGTTCAGTTAGAAGCAAAGTACTGACCACGAGAGCCGTGAGATTAGCGATCTCGGGGCTGCTGAAGACCGGGCTGTAGGTGTCGCCGAGCAGGTTGCTGCGCAAGAACAGCTCCTGGATGCGGTCCTCGAGACCGGTCCACACGCCCGCACTCAGACGCCGGATGGAGTTCTCTGAGAAATCCACCTGTTGATCACAAGTTTTATGATGAAAATGTGTGAAATTGTTTAACTTAAATTAATTTGTTTTATCGCATATATCGTTTATCTACTACACTGTTAGAAAAATGACCGTTAACGGTATTACCGGCGTTTCAGTGGCCGGTCGGCGCGTGAAAAGAAACACCGTTTCACCGTTTTTATTCCAATTTAACACCAGAAATCAGTAAAACATATGATAAAAACGGCGAAACAGTTTATTTTCACGGGGCGACCGGCCACTAGGATGCCGGTGGGACGGTTTTTTCACCGTTTTTTCTAACAGTGTATAAATTTGTGTATAGCTAGGTAGTCTTTGAGTAACAGGGTTTTTTCAGTAATTTTATTAGCTCAATGTGAGAGGCAAGCAATTGAATTTTAGATGTCAGATGAATTTGAATGATATTCTGAAAAGTTTAGAGCTACATGTGAAGATTCTTAATTTTAGTGCTAGCATGAATCTTTGAAGTGGCGCAATAAAATTCATAACAAACATGTCGAAAGACTCACCTTTGCAATCGGCAGGTTAGCATTTGTGAAGAGTTCCGCGGTCAATGCTTGGATTCCAGCTTTTCTTTGTTGGAAACTCACTATATTTACTCTGTGGAGAGAATTCGAAGGCGCCATGAATTTAATTCATTAATTTCATGGTAGGCTTTATACTACGATTTGTCAGACATTTAGTGCATTTTTTTGTATTATCTTTGAAATTAATTCTAGAGAAGTCTAAATGTCGGTCTGTTTGAAAATTAAAAAAAAAATTATTGAAGAAATTATAGATGAGGGATTCGAGGTTTGAAGTCCACAAATAAAGACGTGGATTACACTAATTGACGGCTTGTTCCTGTCCTCAATTATCTATGGCATTGATCTACCGGAGAGAACGTTTGTAATTTTAGGGCATTTGCCATTTCTGTGTGCAGGAATTGTTTAATCAATAAGCAAAGCTTCACAATACCCCAATCAATATTTTTCTGCAAGAGTTGCTTTCTGGGAAAAAAAGTAGTTCAAATGTTTAATAGTAATATATATAATTCAACCGGAGTAAATAAATTTGTTGATTTTTATTGCATCTTACCGTTGGGGAAGGATGGGGAAGTCTCCGGGAAATGAAACTTTGTCGCAGTTTATGTGGATTCCATTGCCCTCCTGAGAACACACACATGGGAGGCGCAATCTTTCGTCGATTGCAGCGCAGTTGGGGGAGTTGTGGAGAGCCTGGGCCGTGTAGAGCAGCTGCAGCGTCGCAGCCATGGTCAGCATGCGTACTAATAGCGTTGACATCCCCATGACTCCTGAAAAAAATTAAAATTATTCCCGTTATGTGCGAATGAAATACTAACGGCAGATACGGCAAGAATTCAGAGTAAAAGCGGAAACGAACGAATGGAATGAGCTATTCGATTGTCGACTAATTAAAATGTCAAAGAAGTTGCTATAACAAAACATAACATAGTGATCTCGGCGCTGAAGCGTAGGCCTGATTCTCTTCCTTTTCGTGCCTTGTTCACAGAAGATGTGAACAAGGCTGTGAAGATGTGACTCGTCTTACTGACACAAATAGCATACGAATCATTGTTAGAAAAAGTTGAAGTTGAAAGTTGAAAAGTTGATTGAATTGTTTGCTTCGCGATATTCATGGAAGAATATTGGAATATTCATGGTCCATTATGCTTCATTTTGGCGAATTATCCTTGCGCGCCCAGGGCGTTCGTGATCACTAATCACGAGCCACCGACTTGCCGCCTTATACAGCGGCAGCAATGCACTGCGCATCAACAACAGCTGCAGTTTCGCTTTTGAATCGAAGAAAGGGAATATTATTGCCGAAGAAAGGGAATATTATATTATAATAATCGAAGAAAGGGAATATTATTGCCGTTATGACGCCGGTACAGGCTGCGATAAGTGCAGTAGTTCGCTAATAGCCTCCAGGGAAAGTTCTGAGCGCGTCGACGCAGGCGGACAAGAACGTGCCTAAAGCTTGGAAAGTGCGCAAAGTCTTTGTGTTATTGGCTTTTATGCTAACTGAATAATTTAAATGAACGCTAAAGATACAATGTGAAGGGGAAAAATTCGGAGTATTTAATTTTTTGGCAATTTATTTTAAGTTTATTTACGATCATGAAGGAATTGAATTGTGGACGGAAGATCGAATAAATGAGAAACTGAATTCGAGACAAATTTTTTAAAATAAAGTAACCATCACTCAAGTAACTTCTTAAAGTAGCAGAATATAAGTAACACGCAAAAAAAAACACTCCATATCTACAACCTGCTCACATATACAAAGTAGGTACTCTTATTTCTATAAATTATTATATGCGCAGGAGCTAATTTCAAATAAGCAGAATTAACTAACTTAATCACATGAAACTTTCACCGAAACTCGAGTTGCGCAACTTTCCTTCACAGAGCTTGATTACTTCGTGTCCGGCTGCAAGAAAGAGCACTGCAAAAATTGCAAGGGCGGGACACACAAGCGTAGATTTCACTTTACGTGGAAGAAACCAAATTTTCAATGCAGCCGAGTTGACTAATTACATCCAAAATGGGAATTAGAATAGAAAAATTTATTTCATGCATATGACGGCAACTGAGAGCCTTTGCAAGTAAATATAACGCATGCTCGCCGAAATTATAGAACAAAAAGATGCAGAAATCTTTGCACTTAACCCCCCCCCCTCCACACTGTAACTCATGTTATTGTGCTTTAAAGTAAAAAATATATAACTCAGTACTCACTGTAGTGAGTGACAGAGAGCGCATTTTCTCGTCGACGAAAACTTGAGGTCACGGACGGACGGACAGACGGACGGACGGACGGACGGCCAGACAGACAGACAGACAGACGGACATGACGAGCACAATAGTGCATTTTTTCCATAAATGATAAAATGCGCTAAAAATGAGGCAACGAGATGAAAGCAAGAGCATATTTTAGAAAAATTTTCACCCATGCAGCAAAAGTAACTGAAACTCGTTATTCATCAAAATTCATTTACTCAAATTACATGTGCCGGGAAACTGCGAGACGGAAATTACTGCAGATCGCAACAAAATTAGATCATTAAAATATTATGGTGACGCGATCTCGTGTAAAAATTATCACAACATCGCCGAAGAAAGTTTCGTCGCAATCATGCGCAAATTCAATTTATTGTAGAGAATGAAAAATATAGTTATTATTATTGGCAATTTCTGATCATTGCAACCTGTCGCACCGGAACACGAGCGAGTGTGGCTGAGCACATCAGTCGAACTACTGATGCTACTGATGCCAAAGATGTGAAGAAAAAGCTCGACATGCTAAACAAATCACACGAACCACTGGTTCGATTGATGTGGATAAAATGCTTAGCAAGCTGACTACATCAGTCCAATCACTGATGCGATTGATGTGCATAGGAAATACTTAGCATGCTGAGCACATCATTCGAACCACTGATGCGATTGATGTGTAGGAAATGCTTAGCATGCTGAGTACATCACTCGAAACACTGCTGCGATTGATGTGTAGGAAATGCTTAGTATGCTGAGTACATCACTCGAAGCACTGATGCGATTGATGTGTAGGAAATGCTTAGCATGCTGAGTACATCAATCGAAACACTGCTGCGATTGATGTGTAGGAAATGCTTGGCATGCTGAGCACATCATTCGAACCATTGATGCGATTGATGTGTAAGAAATGTTCGGCATATTCTCTGTCGTCTGTCTACTCAAGTAACTGCGCGACCTTGCAATGAGATTTAAATTTTTCGTTTTCAAATTCCTAATGTCTCGCACTTCTCGTGCTTTTCACCAAAAATGGCATAAATGATAATTTTGTTGCAGCACTTGGGGAGATAACGTGCATTTATGTTTTGTTTGTCTCGCTTCATATGAATTTCGATCTCGGAAACAATTTAAGAAAGCTACAAATATTTGCACAATTCATAATAATAAAATATATTGCATGACACATCGGCTCCAATCAATGTCAGCAAAAGCTATAAAGGTGGAACGGGGTAACAATTGCAGCGTGCAGGCTTATTTAAGGTTTTCAAAGAATGTTCCGCCAAGTGCTAGAGACTGCTTGATAAAATAAAGATTAAGAGTGCAGGACGAATAACCCGCAGATCGGGCTTGAATGCTTTTCAATTCTTCCAATTACGCCCAATCATAATTGACAATGGGGACATTTTTGTTCATTTTATAAAGGTTAAATAATATTATTCTCAGAGATGAGGAAACGGATCTAGATCTGGCACCAGGTCTGCGATTTTAAGGTAAAGCTCAAATTTACTGACATTTGTGGTTAAGTTCTAGAATCTCACCTGCATTCTAAACTCGAAGCTTTTTAGCAGCACATTATTTTATGCTAAATGAAAATACGAGTAGCCATTGTTATTCTAGTTTCCACCTTTGCATGGTATGAAAGGCAAGCACTCTCTAGACCAGAGGAATGACCAAGTGAAGAACGAATAAAAATTTACAATTTAAAACGCCTTTTGGAAAAGCACCAGCGATGAAAACAATAGAATTTCTTTGAATACGCTGTTCATTTCTATGAATGAATTATACATAATGCGGAACGAAGTTATTCATCATGAGAAGTGCGAAAGGTGAACGATCAATTCAAACCTCTCGTGGGCTGTACATGTACGTAAGCAGTCACTTTGATGTGCATTGAATATCTCAGACAGACCGCAACAGTCAAGCAATGGATCCAGTAGGCGATTTCTAACTGCAACTTTCGCCACAGAGAGACACGCTCGACAACAGAACCAACTCAGCAACTGTACGAGGAGCTTTGTTTACAATTTCGAAATTAACAAATGAAGCTTTGAGATTTAGGTGACACTACGAATTTAACACATAAAAGATATCTCAGTTCTCACTAGACCCAGTTTGTCGTGAAGTTTCTAGGGTAGTCTTCATATGTACATATTATTCCGTACCGTAGTGGATGCCAGTAAGTTCCTTTGATCGAAAAGTATTGACTATCAGCATAACTGGCTCGACTCTTGCATTGTTAACTACTATTCTCATTCTCTGTAAATATCCAGCAATTTACCGCTTTACGTGTGACATTTCATGTATGAATATATCCACTTATTTCGTTCTTTGTATTTTTTATTGAAGTATTATCTTGTTTCAGAATATTGCGTTCTTGTGGATTAAAGCTCTTAATGAGTCGCTTCGAGTTTGACTTACAATACAGTTATAGGTGTGAATCGGATTTTTTTCTTCTTAATGTGCACAGATCCAGGACGTGAATTTTCCGAAACCAATGCCTAAATTTTTGCAAAACTCTGCTGTAGTTTAAATTTCGGATAAATCCAGCTACGCAGAGCCAACGACGCAAGATAGATGAAGAGATTGCGGCTAAATTACAGTGACGCGAGAGCAGCCATCAGCAGGAAGTTAAAAAAAATCTTGAAACAAAGACGAGCAGCGCAGGAGCAACGGCTGGAATGGAGGTGGGCGGTCCGTGGCCTGGAAGTGATATTACCAAATTATTGCAACAGCGACGTGATTGCGACTCCGCGATCAGCTCCATGCAAGAAGTCAACGTCGAGACAAATCTACGACGTCTTGCATGGAAGCTTCGTAAAGGAAATGCAGCCTGTTGTTCACTTCGGATGAGAAATTTGTTAATCTTAAAAAATCGAAATTTTTTGTTTATTTATCTTTTTTAAATTGTGAATGAGGAACTGCAAGTCTCAGTTTATATTTCGTACTGAATGAGAGAAGGAAGTTCAATGATTCAATTATTGAACTGCAAAAATTTTTGAATTAACGAAAAATTCAATGTGAAAATAAAAAAATTATCCTTCATTTGATCTGTTTCAACTATAAGTCAAAGTACCCAGCAAATTAAATGGATTTATAACAGTAATACTATGTTTTCCAAACACATATTACAAAATATTCTGGTCACAAAACCAGTTCGAATTTCTAGATGAAGAAGTCAATGAAACTCGTGCGCTGCCCCGGGCTAGACGAACTGTTTAGTAGACCGGATTCCTCGCAACGCATCCGTAAACAGAAATGCTGTAGAAATTTTACTTTGGTTTCAATAGAATTTCTACGTTTAAAGTGGCATGAGGCATTCTAAGAATGACGTTAAATCTTTGGTTAAAAATTAGGCCAAGTAATTAGTGCATTCTCCATGATACGCTCTACCGGTACTTATGAAACGATACTCTGACGAACACATTGATGCAGACAAGATTTGTTACATGCACGGATCTCGTTGCTTCTGAAAATCTTGAGATCAAGCCAATGCAGCACAAAGTTAAGGAGGAAG